ATAGTTGATTGTTTGATTTGTAAAGAACTGTCGTGGTATTGGAATGGAGATTAGTTGGATAAGTTAATTAAATGTTAGGAGAACTTGATCATTTTACTGTGATATATGTTAATTGCCCTGCTATGGAATGAGTTTGGTTTTATTGATGTTAAAGATACTGCAATGACCTGCAATGAAGAAGGAGATAATGTTGTAGTATAAAATGTCTTTTAGAAGTCCCACATTGATTTTTGTATAAGACATAAAAGTGTTTATAAAGCTGAAACAAACACAACAATTCAATTGTGGGTTAGAAAAATAGACCAAAGACATGGGCCAATAACTAAAGGCCCAAAGAGTTTCATTTAAAATTTTGATTAATTATTTAATTATAAAAATTAATAATAAAATATTAATCATTAATTAATTAATTAATTAATTAAAATAATATTAATAAGTTAATTATCCTAGTCAATAAAAAAAGTCTTAAATTAATTTTTTTTAAATGATCTGGCATTAGATCTTAGATAGTGCCACATCATTAAAAAAATTTAAAATTGGAGAGGGGACTAAAATCAAACTCAAAACTTAAAAAACGGATCAAAATCGTGATATTTAAAATGGGGGGACCAAAACCCAAAAAAATACAAAATAAGGGGACCATAGTTGCAATTAAGCCAAAATGATAAATCCAATCGATTGAGCCTTAAGCCAATCGATTGGATCATCAATTATTCCCAAGGATTAATTTTTATTCTTTTGATTTTTCCAAATCATGTATAAAGGATACCCGCTTCCTCTTCATTTCACACAACTTTTCTAAGCTTTACATTTGCTTAGGAATTTATCTCTCTAACTTCTCTCTCCTCTATTGCTCTAGAAAATATTTCTTTCACTTAAAATTATCGTATTGCTTGTGAGTGAAACTTTTATTGTGAGGAAGAGTTTTGTAAGTGATCGTGCTATTTCTTTAACTCTTGGGAATGTGATACACTTGAGAAGATTGAGTTTGGTGTTTGAGATAAACCATAAATAAAATCTCTATTTTAGTTTATTAAGCTTTGCAGGAAAAAGTTCTGCTTTTGGTTATTGAGATCAATCTGAAAATATCTAAGAAAGTTTGTTAACTTAGCATGTGCTAAAAGCTATCTTTGGTTGGAGATAAAACTGAAAAATTTCAAGATCAAGTTGTATAAAGGTTCATGGAAATAACCTTCAAAAGCTCAAAGTTTATAGTCAAATTCTCAAGAAGGTCTCTTAGGAACAGGATTAGGCCAAAGTTTGTCCAAACCTCTATAACTCTTTGGTGAAATATCTCTAACGCTATCCTCTTTAGTTTTTTATATTTATTTTATCGTTTTATTTCCAATGTTATTTACTCTTAAGAATCTACTAACACAATTTCAAGTTCAATCGAGAAAAACATAAAAGTAATCATGGATTTTAAATACCATAATTCACCATCCTCTTGTGCTTGAAGTCACTTGTCCAACAAGTGGAATTAAAGTCTGACTAATGGTCTCAGATGAAAAAATGACTTCAAGGTATTCACTAAAAAAAATCTCATTCTTTAATGGAGAAGGGTATGATTTGGGGAAAGGCAAAATGAATTTTTTTCATAGAATGGATGGATCGTGGTATTTGGAAGGTTATGAAGGAAGTTCTGTTTGTAGAAAACAAACCTAAAAAAGATTGGACCAAAGAGGGTAAAGAAAATTTACAATGCAGTTTGAAAGAGAAAGTTGTTATTACTACTGCTCTTAGTCTTAACGAGTTTTTAGGAGTTTCTCACTGCGAGACTGCAAAAGAAATGTGGGACATCCTCCAAATCACCCATGAAGGAACTACTTAAGTAAAGATGGCAACATTGGACACATCAATCCACGAGTATGAACTCTTCAGAATGAAACCCGAGGAGAGCATAAATCAACTACAAACACGATTCACCCATATCGCGAGTCATATGAGAACTTTGGGAAAAATATTTCCAAATGAGGAACTAGTTATAAAAATTCTTAGATGCCTAAACTGTTGCTAACAATATATAGTCACTACAATTTGTGAATATAAGAATTTAGCGACTATGGACACATACACATTTTTTAGAAAATTGCAGGAACACGAGATAAAATTAAAAAGACTTATTGATGATGAATAAGATTACAAGAAAATTAAAAAGACTTATTGATGAATAAGATTAACCATCGGTGAGTCATCTGAAGGTGTTTGGCTCTATTTAATACAAGCATGTTCCTGATGCTAGGAGAAGGAAGCTTGTTTATAAGAGTGAACCTATGATTCTGGTAGGATATCATAAGACTGGAGCATACAGGCAGTTCAATCCAATTAATCAGAAGGTTGTGATGAGTCGAGACATTGTGCTTAATGAAAATTCTGCCTGGGATTGAAATTCTAGTAATGCAATTGACAAGCCACTAATGAGCTATGATTTCGACGAAGCAAGTAATGATGTCGAAATCGAAGACATTGTTGATACTCTAGTTAAAGAAGAAGTCGAAGCAGTTACTGACATTCTCGACACAGTCGAATTCAAAGAGGATATAGCTGGTATAAGTCAGAGACCTCAAAGAACTAGAGCTCTTCCAGAAAAACTTCAAGACTATGAAGTGGTTGGTGACAATGAAGTCATAATGGATGGGGAACTAGTCCATTTTGCTTTACTTGCAGATGCTGAACCAATCAACTATAGCGAAGTCTTTAAAGATAAACAATGGAAGTCTGTTATGGTCGAAGAGTTACAAGCAATTGAAAGAAACAACACATGGGAGTTGGTCGAATTTCCAGCTTATACAAAAGCTATCGAAGTAAAGTGTGTGTTCAAGTTGAAGCACAATGTTGATGGGACGATAGTAAGGCATAAGTAGAGATTGGTAGCTCGAGGATTTCTCCAGAGAGCAGGACTCGACTACTCTAAAGTATTTGCACCTGTCACAAGATTAGAAACTGTTCGACTAATGGCGGCCTTGGCATGCAAGCAAGGTTGGTCAAGATTTCACTTAGATGTGAAATCAACATTTTTTAATGGACCTTTAGAAGAAGAGGTGTATGTCACACAACCTCATGGGTTTGTGATTCAGGAGGAAGCAAGTAAAGTATACAAGTTGCACAAAGCGCTCTATAGCCTCAAGTAGGCACCTAAGGCATGGAACAAGAAGATCGACTCATACTTGGTTGAATTGGGATTCGTAAAATGAAAATCTGAGTATAATGTCTATGTTTAAGTTGTGGCACAAGATATAATAATAATCTGCTTATATGTCGATGACTTACTAGTAACTGGAAATAACCTGAAGAACTTGTCGAAGTTCAAAGAGCTGATGAAGAAGGAATTTGAAATGTCGGATCTGAGAAAGTTTTCATACTTCCTAGGCACGATACATCAAAGAAAGTATGTCAAAGAGATACTCAAGAGATTCAGATTGGATTATTCGACTCCTGCTTCTTCGCCCTTCGAACCAAATTTAAAGTTGGAGAAGTATGGAAAGGAAGACAAAGTCGATGCAACTTTGTTCAAACAAATTTTTGGATCTCTAAGATATGTTTGCAACAGTCGACCTAATATATGTTTTTCAGTTGGATTAGTGAGCAGATACATGAGTGAACCAAGGGTGTCACACATGAAGGCTGCAAGAAGAATCCTGAGATACTTAAAAGGATCGACAAACTATGGAATTTTATTTCGACGAGACTCTGAAAGCAAAAAAGTTATGGTTACTTGTAATTCAGATGTTGGCTGGTGTGGAGATAAGGAAGATCGAAGAAGCACTACTGGATATTTCTTTCAAATATTTGGTGTCCTGATTTCATGGTGCTCGAGAAAGCAATCTGTGGTGGCACTATCATCATGTGAAGCTGAATATATAGGAGAATCATATGTTGTTTGTCAAATAATTTGGAACAGATATGTGCTTGAAGAAACAGAGGTCGGAGTGAAGAAACCTATGGTACTGCAGATCGACAACAAGTCATCCATAAATTTGGCGAAGAATCCAGTTCTGCATGGAAGAAGTAAGCATATCGAAGATAGGTCTCACTTCTTAAGGGAAAAGGTAAATCGATGTGAACTTAAAGTTAGGCACTGCTCAAGTGAAGTACAGTTGGCCGACATTTTTACCAAAGGATTTAAGATCGACAGATTTCTGAATTTGAGAAAGAAATTAGGAATAGTTCAAATCGACTATGATAAACATAGGTTCGACAACTTGGATTATGGAGGGTTTGTTGAAATATTAGATTAGATTTAATTAAATTTAATATTTAAATATAATCTAAGTTGTATTAGCCCAAACCCAATTAGAGTTGTATATAAATAATCATAATATGTATCATTATTTGTAACAATTCATTCAATAAATCCTTATTTTTTTATTCTCTCTTTCTCTTTTTACTAAAAGTGTCTCACGCACTAATACATATATTTTTCATTTAATCGGTCAAAATCATGTCATCAGTCCATATCAAATCATAAATGAATGTAAATATTTCAAATACTTTTTTCATTATGATGAGTTAATCAACTTGGTTACAAAAGTGATATTATAAATTGAATTAATTTTATAATTCGACTTATTATCTTAAACATCTCACTCTTGTTTAAAAGACCATAGACCGTCATAAAATATTCTAGTATATGACACATTAGTCTCAAAGGAGTTTAATGTCACATTGCTCTAGTTATAAGCATCAAAAGTTACGCATGATTGTATACTCGACTTGTGATCCTCTTGTATGAAATCAACATTATAAAAGGAGGAGGGACAGATGTAGAAAAAGACCTAAAAAATTTATAACTTAAACACACAGAGCTCATAAAAATCCCCCGGAACAATACTTTATAAATTTATAATCTCAAGTGCTGTAAGAAATGAAATAAAGTTACACAAATAAACAATCCATGTTCAATTCAATACATGGAGCAAGCTAGGTAGCAATAACTAATGCAATAAGGAAACAATGCATCTCAAGCCCTAGCAAAACCAAAACAATTTGTTGGTAAATAATCAAGGTAAATGGTTTCTAGTGTTGGAAGATAGTAACCACTTGGTGAAATTTTGAAGGGTAGATTCATCAGCTCTATAGTAGTTTTGTGTGAAATGAAGCAATTGTGACCATGTAAAATCAGGATATGTTTTTGTCCCATCTATGACCACAATATCTTGTGGGGGTCTCACCATTTTGTCTTGATTTGGACACAAAAAGAATGCCAAGGACCTCCTCTCTTTGTACCTATTAACCACTGCCCTATGCAAACAACTCTTGTATCTCCCATTTGATAATGCCTAAACAAAAAACCAACAAATAAGTTAACATTTTACTATATTCTTACATATTTTGTGATGGCCTACGTAGGATTTAACGTACCGTGAATGTATCGCCGATGTTAACAACAAATGCATCTGGACGAGGTCTAACCGTCTGCCATTTCTGATCTGCAAAGACATCAAGACCTCCAACTTGATCTTGATGAAGTATTGTTAATGTCGTTGGGTCACAATGTGGTCCTGTACCTAATGCAACACTTGGTTCTTGGCATGATGGATAATAGTTGCATCTCATTATGGAACAACCATCTTCAAATAAGTACTTATAATGTAACCTATCAACTCCTAAGCTTATTGCTAATATCTCCATTAGTTTCATCCCTAACTTCTTCATTGCTTCACAATACTTCTGAAATACCACACTGCATATAATTAATGAGAAATGAGTACAAGGTACACTTAAACCTTCTTACATAGAAAAAATGACAATAAAAACAAAACCTACAAACAAACAAAAGAAAAAATGTACATGTAAAAGTCAAAGAACTCAAAAAGACCAACAAAGTACTATATGAAAATTAGTGTGGTAAACGGGCATGTTCACTCTGCAAAAGTTTGAAAAAAACGGAGCAGAGGGACATATATAATTGAAGATGTAGGTTTAAAATTTTGATCTATCTCTTATAAATATAATAGCGGAATAGATATTAGAGGATGTGAGTCTAAAATCTTGATCTGTCTCGCAAAACGGATGTCAGATGGCTCATTTTGCAACTCTAATAAAAATTATTATAAACATTGAAAAATTAATATAAAAATTATTTTGAAATAGTAATATTAAATGTGCATAGAATTCATAGTAGTATTATTATATTCTTACCCAGCTTGTTGAAAATCTTCTCCCAAAGACTTGGAGTTAAAGTAGTTAGTAACAACAGGCTCAAAGGAATTATTATCATGAAATGGAAAAGAAAGTGTTTCCTTCCATGGCAACTTGGAGGAGAATCTATCAGCATGAGCACCAGAGTAGCCCCACATAGAACCCTTCATCTTACGAACACTAAGTTTCTTATCAATCGGAAGCTTAAAAAAAGCATCCATTTGATCATAAGCTTCACCAACAAGACTCAAATCAACACCATGGTTAATCACTTGAAAAAAACCATGTGTTGAACAAGCTTTAGAAACTAACTTGGCAGCATTGTCTGTGGCTTCTTCGTTGCCTTTAAGGAATCCGTCGAGGTCTATCAATGGTGCTTGAAACTCTTCATTTGCGTTTACTAGGTACTCTTTTGGCCAAACGAAGTTGGTTGGAACGTTACGTTGTTTTTGTAACCAAGATGGGTCGTAGAAATGGTTTTGATGAAGTATGTCTTGGTGGTTACTAGACACTAAGCAGAGACCAGAATCCATGTAGTTTGATGAAATTAAGGAATGAGGAAGTTAATAATGATTAGAGACAAGATTGGTGGAGTTATTTATAGGCATATGAATAGGGCAAGAAATGGCATGAAAATTTGTAGGTTGAAGCATGGAATATAATGCAAGAAAACAAAAAATAGTTTAAAAAGTGGAATCAAATTGGATAGATAAAACATAAATAAAAATGAAATGGAGTTGAAGGTCATGCGGCATGCTTGAGTTGAGGGGATGTGCCTCAATGCGCACGCTTTTCAATGTGTTGGAATTTAGAAGGTATCCAATTTGGGCAAGATGCTTGATTTTCGTTTGGAATCATGGTATGAAAATAGGGATGAAATGGATTGACTAATGGATTTTTTTATTCAAATTCTATGGTAAAGGATTGAATGTTGCATTAATAATGAGTTGAATTTAAATGAATATTGGAAAAATAAATATAAGTTGACTTTTTTAGGTTGACTTTAATTGGATTTGTAATTTGTATGTGCCTTTAAAATATTATAAGAATAAAATGGATGATGGAATGTAAAATTAGAGCAAACACTTTTTTAACACTAAGTATAAGTGATTTGTGTTTGTGGTCTCTTATTTTTTTTATTTAAAGGTGTTTGTCACCCAAGTAATGAAATTGGTTATTCAACCAAAATTTAGTTTTTGTTTGAATTAATTAATTTTAAAAATTGAATTTGTTATAGGATGGGTCTAGACCTGCTCATCCGTCGGACAGCCCCGACCCAATAATGTTCAGGAAAGACTCAATAAGGCTTAAAGTCTCAGTGTTGGGCACGACTCTAGACACGTCGGGCAGGCACCCTTCCCGCGTCGGGCAGAAGCACCACGTCTTTCACACGTTCTCTACGTCGGTGGTACGTCATCAGCCAACTACCCACCTCCGAAAGAGCTGGTCAGCCCACCGGAGATCATGATATTTTAAATTTTTGATTTTTTATATTTGTTTAAATCCTACGTTGTTAATTTTTGATATTTGTTAAAATATATATATATATATATATATATATATATATATATATATATATATATATATATATATATATATATATATATATATATATATATATATATATATATATATATATATATATATATATATATATATATATATATATATATATATATTTTGTAAGGGTGTTTAAGGCATATCATATGGCGCTCGTACTATTTTATTTTTCTATAAATAAGACTGCACACTTATATAGTTTTTCACAACAATTTATACCAAAAGACTCAAGTCTTCATAATTTTGAATTCGGTTTAGAAGGTCTGCATTTCTAAATCAATGTTCATCGTCGTCGTCATCAGAATCAGAGAAACCGTTTTCAACATTTCCTCTAATGAAAAGAAACGCCCTAGTTTATTTTTCAGCAACAAAGCCTCTGATGAAGGTGCTACTGTGGAACACATAGACGTTGGAGCATTTGCATAGGGAACTGAATCGCTGACTAGAAAGAGATATTGCTGCAGGTGAAAAGTGGGAAATGATGTTGGTGTCCTTGTGATGATGCTAACACCAAAGAAGATAACGTTGATGGTTGTGATGTCCTAGGCAACTTGATGCATTGTTCTGTTTTATGTCGGTTTGTTGTTATTTTTGAAATGTTGTTGTGATATTAAGTTATGTTTGTTCAATTTATGTTGCTTGCTAATTGTAATCGGTTAACTATGCTTTAAATGGAATAAAATTTGTTGTTGATTTAAAGGGACACGGTTACATTAGACACTATGATCTTGTGCTTGATCCTACATTAGGACATTTTGTACGATTCTGTCTTAGTTGCTGACACGAACTACATAATCTTACCATCTTGTTTGTTGCATCCATCTCCGTACGAATGTGCGTGCTATTAAGGCGACCCTTTTTCTTTCTTCGCATCAAATCATTATGTCAGACAATTTCGCATTCGTATTGAGGCCAATAGTCCTCCTTTGCCCCCACCTGAAAGCTACATGTGTAGATATTGCATAAACTTATCACTTGGTAAACTGTAGAAAGATAGTTGGTTGGGTCCTGGTGCGCCTTCGAACATGCTGCTATAACATGAGAGCAAGGCATATGAAATGCCTGAAACTTTCCACAGACACACCAGCTCTTATCCAGTTCAACCCGGTAACATCCCCTAGGCCTTCCTCTATTGTGATCAATCGACTCAGCAACACTTAACCAACCTTTATTACAGTCAAAGATTGTGACCACATGTGTGTTGGCTTTGGCAGCTTCGTCTTTTATGAATATTGTTGAACTATTACTGTACAGCTGACCAGATTGTAATACTGAACCCCACTTTGTACGTTTGTTATCAAAGAGTGTGTCGAGCCTAAAATATGTTGCCTTTACCAAGGCACTTATCGGTAAGTTTCGGATTCCCTTGAAAACAGAATTCATTGATTCAACGAGGTTAGTTGTCATGTGGCCCCATCGCACCCCATTGTCGTATGCCCGTGTCCATTTCTCTTTATCAATATTATCAATCCATCTTAATGCATCCGTGTTTGTCAGTCTGATCTCGTCACAGTAGTGTTTGAATGTCGGCTCTGTTAGTGCATATCATGCGTTCACAACCTTCTTCCTTAGTGTTTTGTCTTTGATTTCCTGCATGAAATTTTGAGCTATATGTCTTATGCAATACACATGGGTCGAGGGAGGGTCCTGCCAACCGTTATCAAGGTTATTGTATGCACTCTCTATTTATGGGTGTCTATCAGAGATCAAACATAAGTTAGGTTAGGGAGAAACGTAAAAGCGGAGAGTTTTTAAAATAAAAAAACTCCAACCCCCAGCAGTCTCCCCTTCAACTATAGCGAAGGCTATTGGAAAAATGTTGTTGTTCCTGTCCTATGCCACAGCCATGAGTAGCGTGCCCCTATATTTCCCATACAACCATGTGCCATCAACTTGAATTATAGGTTTACAATAAGCAAAGCCTTTGATACATGGTTCAAACGCCCAGAAGATTCTGTTAAAAATGTCATTTCCACTAACGCAAGTCCCGTCTGGTGTATACGCTGACATTGTCTCCAATATGGCAACAGTCCCTGAAGAATATTGTTTAAGAGGCACCAAAATTTTTGGAAGTTCTTTGTAAGACTCCTCCCATTTTTCAAACACCCTTTCAACCGCTTTAGTCCTAACTATCCATGCTTTCCGGTATGAAGGAGTGTAATTGTACCTTTGAACCATATGTGAAATTATGGTACTCACCTTCAAAGACGGATTGTCGCTAATGACCGATAGAATCTCATCGCAAATCAATTGAGAGTCGAGCTTGTGATGGTCCTGCATTGGATTCGTGATTATACAAGTGTGGGCTGGACCCATTGACCCTATCTTCCATGAATCACTTCTCTTCCGAAAAGACGTTGTTAATCGGAACTGACACACCTTGTTACGACAATAGATTTTATACAGAGTCGGATTTGTTCGATCGACTCTATAATCTGCTGATAAGTCCATGTGATATTGTTTAATTGCTCGGACACAATCTTCTTTTGTACGAAACTCGTCACCCTCTTTTAATAGTCCTTCTGTTGCATAGTTAGGATTGTAAAAAACATTTGTTGAGGGTTCATCGTCACCTAAGTCGAGATTTGTCATGTGTTGAGGTGGCCAATAAACATGACTGGGTGGAACCCACTCTTCCTCGTTGTTTACCATGTCGTCAACAATGACTTCAGTTGCTTCTTCTTCATCAATGGCATTGACTTCAGCGTGTTCCTCGTCAGATTCGTAAAAAACTTGAGAAGAATCAAGTTGTTGAGACAGTTGTTGTTGTTGTTGTAACGTAACATATAGCACAATATCTGAGAAACCGGAATACTCATGACTGTGGAACATGCTACGCGCGTCTTCATCATCTCGAATCTTTAATGGGAAAATTTGTATTTATCGTGCCTGCCAAAGAACACCAGATTCTTGTAGATTATTTGGCCAATTGGACCACATTGTAGTTTCTTTTCTAATCTTGACTTCAAGTGTAAAAAATTTGACCTTCTGTCAATCAAAAATCTAGTAGCATCAGTATTTCTGAAATTGTAACCGGCTATGTTACATTCAAAAGTCTCACCGTTTAAATGTGCACTAATCATGTATTGTGGTGTTTGAGTCGTAGCTAATATTTTAGTAAACTTGTGTTTGAAGGGATTATTTTACTAATTGATATGATAATAATCCAGTTCTCTATACTGTATTAATAGCAATAAAATATTGCTTTTTATTATTACATCTACGTGACAAGACTAAACCCTGCGTGCCTACAAGGTGAGCTGCATGACAAGACTAAACTCTGCTACCGTCTGCACTCTGCATGCCTACCGTCTGCACTCTGATTCTATGCATGCCTATAAGAATCTTACTAATAAATGTATACACATGGCTACAATATCCGTCTGCACTCTGCATGCCTACCGTATGCACTCTGATTTTGTGTATGCCTACAAGATTCTTACTAATAAATGTATACACATGGCTACAGTATCCGTCTGCACTCTGCATGTCTACCGTCTGCACTCTGATTTTATGAATGCCTACAAGATTGTTACTAATAAATGTATACACATGGCTACAGTATCCGTCTGCACTCTGCATGCCTACCGTTTGCACTCTGCATGCCTACCGTCTATACTCTACATGCATACCGTCTGCACTCTGATTCTATGCATGCCTATAAGACTCTTACTAATAAATGTATACACGTGGCTACAGTATTCGTCTGCACTCTGCATGCCTACCGTCTATACTCTGCATGCCTAACGTCTACACTCTGATTCTATGCATGCCTACAAGATTCTTACTAATAAATGTATACACATGACTACAATATCCCTCTGCACTCTACATGCCTACACTTGCATGCATGCTTGACAACACTACACTCTAACATAAGATATATTTTCGTTGCATGAATGACAACATTACACTAATGTTTTTTACCTCACATGCATGGCAAGACTACACTTGCACACTTCCCTTCATCCATGTCACATGCATGCTTGACAACACTCTGCATGTATGATAACACCACAACATGCATTTTTATGTGACTCATGTACTTAGAAACTTGAATACTTCAGCATGCATTTTCATGTGACTCATGTACTTAGAAACTTGAACACTTCAGCATGCATTTTCATGTGACTCCTGCACTTAGAAACTTGCACACTTCAGCATGCATTTTCATGTGACTCATATCATCACATTTGAGGATTATAAATACATGTTCATCAACGAACAAACTCTTCTCGTCCCATTACCAGCTCTACTCCTCATACGTGCTACAAATTCTTCTTGTCACCCTGCAAACTTCACTCAGCAAACTTCACCCGCCAAACTTAACCCACAATGTCTCTACTCATAATGGGCAACGATCACAGAGGCACAATTGAGAACATCGCAGAGTTTGTAAGTATTTTTCTTTTTGTTGTCGATATTTACGAAGTTTAATTTTCCTTTAAACCTAATGGCATTTAAATTCTTTTGCAGGATGTATCAAGGTTTCGTTGTCGTGTGCATGACTACATACCACACGACCCTTTAATAGAGGGATACCTTGAAGCATGTGGGTTCGGTGATTTGATCAAAATCAAATCGTATTCACTGGATCCCAAATTTATTCTAGCGTTGTTAGAACGCTGGAGACCAGAAACACACACATTTCACTTACCTTTCGGTGAATGTACCGTAACTTTACAGGATGTATACATGTTACTTGGCCTACACATCAACGGTAAGGCCGTCAACGGCAAAGTTGGTGTTAATGATCAACTTTACAAAGATTTATTGGGTGCCCCTCTATGTGTCGACACACGTCAGCCCGAACGTGAGGGTCGACCGAGGGGGCAAGGTATTAATTGAAATACCTCAGACAACACTACAATAGTATCGTGTTAAATGAGGAATCCACCGAGTATGAGAAGACAACACTACAATCGAAGTTTCTTTGTAACTTAATTATTTGTACGATGTTTCTTAGTGTCTAATTTATTTGTGTTTCTTTTTTTTAGCTTGTCTGTTCCGAAAATGAATTACCAAAGATGTCCCAGAAACTCCATAGTCGTGTACCGCAAGCTTATTGAACACATTGGGCCAGATGATGTAATTTATCTACCATTACTTTGTCTAATTGATAAACACATACTTGTATTTCTCATTTCATATATTGTTAATGTAGTTTGTCTGGATGTCGTACGAGGGTCTCGACCACAGGCCCAACGCTAATGATGTTGTCGTGTGGACATCTAAAACACCTATCATTAGGTTAACTATATTGGAGATGCACCAAAGTGACCGGATGAAACTACAGTTCGGGATGCATCAGGATATTCCAGATGCTCTGACGTCATTGTGACACTGGCATCAGCTAAGGGTGGATACACAATGCAATGTTGGTCATTTGAAGGACTTTGCGAAAGAGATGTGTCTGCATTGGAAGAACCGACGTCAACACATCTTAACCGACCCTATTGTGGAATGGGCTTGACCAAGTTATCAATATATGATTTGGTTTAGATCGGTTACAATCTCACAACCATTTGTGTCTGAGCCGACATATTTGATTGACCCGAGACAATGTGCGTCTTCCTCGACTCCGCAGGAGAAACCCAATGCCCAACATCAAACACCATGTTATACGCGACATTCAACTATGTCCACCCAACCAATCTTCCAAAACTGTAACCTACATGCCACCAACCCAATCACAACAACAAGAGCCTTACCCCTATCGTCTGCGTTCTGAAACCGACACCACTTATGTATATAGCTCTGATACATCTTTTGACCCTACCTCATCCACCTATAGCCAGATAACACTTTTGACCCCACACCAGGCAATCAATCTTCCTACCAACAAAATACTTATCCATTTTTTGATTATCAAACCCCACAACAACCAATACATCGTTTCCAAACCGATTTGATGTTCCAATTCGGACAACCGTACCGTCCATACCCCACCCAACCTCCCCGACAAAACTACGAAAACATGAGCATTGAACTTAATTACGGAAGCGCCGTTGGCACCGACCCGCCCGACTATTGGGGTCAAATACTTCAAAATTTATCTGATACACCGGGATCATCTGAACAAATACATCTTCCACAAGTCAACACACAAAAACCAGATACACCTTAACAACCTCGTGGTAGACCTCGACGTCGCGCGCATCCTCTACAATGTAGTACCGATGATTGTTTAAATAGAGCCGACCATTAATTTTCTTTTTTTGATCTGTTATAATTTTTATTAAATATTATAAATTATTATAATTTACTATTTCTTGCATTTATATTTTTTAATATTATTTAAAATAACAAATTTAATTATTTTATAAAACAAATATTAAAACTTTAAAAAAAATTAACTAAAAAAAATTAACTAAAAAGAAAACCTACGGAAAAGATGCGTCATATGAAATGGCGACTCTCTGTATAGTAGGGTTTCTATTTTATACCCTTACGCCATATGAAATGGCGACTCAGGTCAAAGTGACCTTGATCAGCCATTTCATATGGCGACTCAATGTTGAAACATGGCCAGTTTCGTATTTTTTTTGAATTTTGAGTTTTTTTTGTATTTTAATTGAAAATAATGGTTATTTTAAATTAAAAAATCCAAACTTGTGCTATAAACATGTCCTATGTAATTTTATAGAAACTAAATATAATTAGCTCTAGAAAATTTAACTAGTTGTTCATCTCTTGCATACATATATTGTTTCTGATCCACATTTTTGACTCAGCAAAGCTACATAAAATAAAAAGACCAAAAATAAAGTGCAAAATTTGACCACAGTGCAACCAAGGACGCCAAACTGAAACAGTAAGCACCACTAAAAGGGAAGTTAAGCAAAAAAATGACTCAAATAGAGGGTGACTGATTCTAAGTTTAAGAAAATGAGAATAATAGTGCTTGCAATTAATGATGGCCAATTTTTTTATTGAAAAAAGAAATGGAACGGAGACAAATATGAAGGAAAATACATATATAGAACATATTTTCCATGTTTAAGTATTCAACATACGGATCAAATGTACAGTATTTTTATTGTCATCCCTAAATTTACTGCCTACTTCCTGGAAAACACCCATTTGATGATCCCTACTAATACTCCATGGAGCCCATTAGAAAACCTTCTTCATCATGCAGACACAAAATTGACGAGTCCTGGTCATGACCACTGAAACTATGTTCCAGCCAGATGTACTTCAAAAAGAATTAGTCAAATTCCAATATAGGAAAATCTATTTGAGCAGGTTTGAATAATGCCACTAAATTCGGTTATCAATGTGAGTTTAGAACAAACAAATCTCTTACAATGCTACTGATCAAAGTAAGCAGCACCCCATTAAGAATCATTGCTCTGAAGTGTTTGATGCAATCACAAGAAAACCTGCAAGTGCTAATAATAATTAAGTCTGTGGGCCTTGCTTAAACATCAATCGAAGAAAAATTAAGGATAACAAGGGGGTTATTTATATGCATCCTATCCTAAATATTTCAAAGTGTGATGCCAATGATCATCATTCAATCATTGGCAAAACTAGCAGAAATATTTTCCTATAAATTGAGAGAAAATTATACTGATAAAGTTTGGGATTCATAATCTCACTATATTTCTCAGCAACCAAGCAGCAGGGAAATGGCTTAAAGTCTTCTCAATTTGGGGATCAACATAGGCATCAATAAAAAAAAGACTGCAGAGTAGGATTTACTAAGGTCTTCCTTCCCCGTTCCAGTTTGTAGTAGAAACAATAGGAAAAAGATTCTAGACCATATGCCACCAAAGCATTATATTCGTACCTGAGCAAAGTTCAAGATGTTATACCACCATTGACGAAGCACAATTTGCAATCACCTCCCATGAATTACTCTGTAATTTAGGGCAAGGTCCTCTGTTTTCTTCCATATATAAGCTCGCACTGTGGCTAAGCTCATTTCTGGAGGCAATATCTGGAAATAATTTTACAAAAAAAAATATCTATCAAGATCCAGTCATCTCATCACATCCAGTGAATATATCCTAGAAGATGATTAAAGTTTCTTCCAAGTTTTATTCCTGTTGAATAAGGGAACTTTTATTACCTGATCATTTTCAAAGTGCCATGATGTAAGGTATATAAACTGGTTTTCACGATAATTAGACCAAAATATTTTCAAAGCTGTTAACAAAGACTTCTTCGAGTCATTATGCGTCGTGTATAAAAGAAACTGATTAATATTGTAGTTTTAAAACATCAAAGTTGGGCGGAATTGTCTTTCAATTTTAACAACTAGCAGGAAACAACACAATGGGTAACCAAAAATGTTGTTGATAAGGAAAGAGAACAAATTCTAAAAAGCATAACATAAATTGAAGAGTAGGCCAACTAAAAACAAACAATGCGTGAAATTGCTCAATTTTGGCATCTAAAAAACTAAATATATGACTACCTTGATAAGAATATATATAACTTGCCTGATTGTTGCACAATATTTCAATAGAAGGTCTAAGTTTTTGCCAAGGTTTAAACCCAGATCGGAAAGAATCATCCCCAGCTGTTTGGTTCTGTAAATTCGATCCAGCAATTCCAGGGGGGAAACTACCTTGAGCATCGACACTATCCAAAGGTTTGTCAAGCACCAACTTTTCTATAACATAATTAATAACCTAGAGAAAAAAAGAGATGGTAGTTAATAAATGCATAATTGAGCTGGGAAAAATTTTCTTATAAAACCATGAACAAAGCAATGAATCCTTGTGGAAACTAAACTGTCTTATTCCTTTTTCTGTCTGTCACTTTTTTTTTATTTCTTCCAAAAACTATATGTGTATCATTTCCACCTATTTGCAATCACTCTTTTTATGCTTATTAAATATACTGTTTCATTTTCTTTCAGTGACCAACATGCAATCTTCCACCTTGTTGCATATGCAATTGAGAAATCTGCCTTCTTTCCCATATCCCACTTATTTTGTATTCGACACTACATCTGGGATGGACAAATTAAACAAAGTTATTGAGAACCCACCAACTTAGAGTTATTGACAAAGTAGTTCTAGTAAGGTTTGGAGTCATCACCTTACATCAGTTATTGACAAAGTAGTTCTAGTAAGGTTTGGAGTCATCACCTTACATGTTGATGTTGGTTTTATGAGGTTGAGTTAGGCTCAACCTATAAATTCTAAGATGGTATCAAAACCTAACCTAAATATGTTATGCATGTCCAAGGAGCTTCTGTTCCAACTATTAATGTTATTTTGGAAGTTTGCTTCTGGAAAAGACGCTGTTTATATGCTGTCCGGACAAATGCTTCAGGACAAAGGCGTTGTTTTTCCCGTCTGAAAGTAAACATCTGAGCAAATCTGCGTATTCTTAGAAATTTGGGGTTGGGAAAGGAGTTCACTTTGTTCACGCTATTGATGTCTATCCCTAGTTGTGTATATATGGCCACGATAGCCATTACGAGGCATGGACAATCCTTACCTTATAAATCGATTTTGTAAATATTGAAAGAAATAGATAAAAGCTATTGTAATTTTATTCCTCAGCCAAAGTCTAGTTTATATAATGAGAATACAATAAAAATACTTAATTCTCTCCTTAATGGAGAATAAAAGAAAATAAATGACAATAAACGTAAACAATTAAATATGGAAATAAAATATTTTTCAACACCCCCTCTCAAGTTGGTGCATAGATATCTATCATGCCCAACTTGTCTATTAAATGCTCAAAGGTAGGTCTTGCCAAACTTTTGTTCAGGATATCCGCAGTTTGCTGACTTGAAGTCACAAAAGGTAGACATATGATTTCAGCATTTAACTTCTCATTTATGAAGTGTCGATCAATCTCAATATGCTTGGTTCTGTCCTGTTGAACTGGATTATGAGCTATGTTAATAGCAACTTTACTGTCAGAGTACAATTTCAATGGAAGCTCAACTTTCATCTTAAATTCTTCTAAGACTCTAAGGATCCATAATCCTTCACAAATACCTTGAGACATAGCTCTAAACTCGGCTTCTGCACTACTCCTTGCTACAACGCCTTGTTTCTTGCTCCTCCATGTCACAAGATTACTCCAAACATAGGTACAGTATCCAGAGGTTGATCTTCTATCAGTGACTGAACCTGCCCAATCAACATCGGTGAAGATAGACACATTTCTTTCACTAGTCTTCTTAAAAAATAATCTTTTTCCAAGATTTCTCTTCAGATATCTCAGTATCCTATAGACTGCCTCAAGATGTTCTTTGAAAGGAGAATGCATAAATTGACTCACTACACTGATTGAGAAAGCAATATCAGGTCGGGTGTGTGACAAATAAATCAATTTTCCAACCAATGTCTGATATCTTCCAGTATCAACAGGAACATTACCTTCTTCTCAAAGTTTAGCATTAGGATCCATAGGGGTATCTGCAGGACGACATCCACTCATTCCTATTTCTTTCAATAAGTCTAGAATGTATTTCTGCTGTGAAACCTCAATGCCTAGAAAATATCTCACGAATCCCAAGTCCTTGATTTCAAAGTCTACTGCCAATTTCTCTTTTACTCTTGTCATTTCCACTATATCGTCTCCAGTAAGGACAATATCATCAACATAAACAATCAGAACAACAACTTTTTCATCGTTGGAGAATTTTGTGAACAAGGTGTGGTCAGCCTGTCCTTGAATGTACCCTTGATTCTTCCAGGACTTGGTGAATTTTTCAAACCAAGCTCTGGGAGACTGCTTTAATCCATACAAAGACTTATTTAGTTTGCATACATTTGATCCAAATTTGTTTTGAAAACCAGGAGGAATGTCCATATATACTTCTTCTAGATCACCATTAAGAAAGGCATTCTTAACATCTAACCGATGTAAGGGCCAATCCAGGTTAGCAGCAAGAGATAAAAGAATTCTTATAGTGTTCAATTTTTCAACAGGAGCAAATGTCTCTGAGTAGTCTATACCATAGGTCTAAGTGAAGCCTTTAGCCACCAAGCGAGCCTTATACCTTTCAATTGATCCATCTGAATTATACTTTAGAGTAAACACCCATTTGCATCCAACTGTCTTCTTGCCATCTGGTAGCGACGTAATACTCCAAGTTTTGTTCTTTTCAAGAGCTTTCATCTCCTCAAGTACAGTTTCCCTCCACTTTGGAATTTCTAGAGCAACCTGTACACTTTTTAGAATTTCTATACTGGACAATTTTGAGGTGAAGGCAGATATAGATGAAGACAAATTTGAATATGAAATAAAATTGGACATGGGGTGTTTAGTGCAAGATCTGACAGGTTTTCTAATGGCAACAGGATCATCTATATCAAGATACAAAATACGACTCTCAGAAACAGAGATAGACTTACCTTTCCTTTTGTTAGGAGGCTGATCATTCCCCAGTTCAGATTCTTGGCAGTGTTGAGATGTGGACTCGTCCCTTCGTTTATGGTGCTTTTTTATAAAAACCTTCCCTTTCCAAGTCCCGTTTCCTAATTCGAATCTATTTTCTTGAAGTGACTCATTATTTTGTGGCATTTCAATTAGATCATCATTATCATCGTTTTCAAGATTCTCATTGTTTTCTACAAGAGAAAATATAGGCTCGGATTCACAAGGCTCCTTACTCATAACAGTAGAAGAATCAGATACAGAATCATTGCCATTTTTTGTTGGTGCAGATGTAAAAGTCTCAGAATTTTGTGTTGCAGGCAAAGATAAATTTTTCAAAAAATTCATGTCCTCAATTTGAAATGAGTCTTCCTTTATCTCCCCCCCTTGAAGATGAGTGTCATCAAAGAAAGGTTTATTTTCAAAAAATGTAACATCCATAGTAACAAACATTTTCTTATTTTGTGGATCAAAACATTTATATCCTTTTTGGATTGAGGAGTATCCAACAAAGACACATTTTATAGTTGAAAAAAAAAATTTTACAGTCTGACAAACATCTGATTTCCCCTTTAACAAGTACACCCAACATACTCTTATATGGTCATCTATAAATGTGATAAACCATTTTTTGAGAGAGAGTGTACTAGTACAGTTGGGGCCCCAAACATCACTACGAATAATAGAAAACGGTTTTGATGATTTATAAGGCTGTATCGAAAATTGGGAACGATGATGCTTTGCAAACTCACATGCTTCACATTTAAACGAAGAAAAATTCTTATTGTGAAATAACTTAGAAAACAAGTGTTTTAAATAACGAAAATTAAGATGACCTAATCTTAAATGCCATACCATAATGTTGTCATCTTTACTATTCAAAACAGAAAAAGACTCAAAGCAGAAACTTATCGTTAAAGGTAGTTGTGATGCAGATCCAATGCCAAGGTAGTAGAGTCCTCCACTCTCCTTAACACTGCCAATCGTCTTCCCCGAGTTCAAATCCTGAAAGACACAGTGAGATCGGAGAAAATTAATTTGACAATTTATATCTTGGACTAATTTAATGACGGATATTAAATTACACGATAAGTTTGGAACATGAAGGACATTTTTAAGAGTTAATATTGGAGACAACACAACTGACCCTTTACCTGCAATGGCTGAAAAAGAGCCATCTGCAATTTTTATTTTTTTATTACCTGCACATGGACTATATGAAGAGAACAGAGTAGATTCACCTGTCATGTGATCAGAGGCACCTGAATCTACTATCCAAGTATGACTGGGACTGACACTAAGAAGTGCAGAATTACCTTTTTTTGCTATAGAGCAAGAAGGGATTGGAGACTCGAGGAGTTTGTACAGTTTGTCTAGTTGTTCCGTAGTAAATGGAAGTTAGGTTGTAGGAGATTGCTGCCCTTGATCAGAATTACTAGCTTGAAATGCACGACCACCTTTCTTCTTCCAGTTCGGAGGTTTGCCTTTAAGCTTCCAACAGGTTTCGCATGTACGTCATTCGCGCTTGCAGTGATCACACCAAGGAACTTTATCTGACCTTCTTCCCTCGTCAAGATTCCTAGTAGCCAGAGTTGAACCTTCAGATTCAGAGTTTCGTGGTGTCTTGCCCATCATAATTCCTTATCGTGCCTCCTCCCTTCTTATTTCTGCAAAAGTTTCACGAAGAGTTGGCAATGGTATTTTTTCTAAAACTCTACCTCTTACCTCATCAAGGTCTTTATTGAGCCCAACGAGAAACATGAATACACTATCATTTTCTTGCCTCTTGAGAAACAAAACATTGTCTTCTGTACACCTCCAATTGTCGTCATAACAAAGATCCAACTCTTGCCACAGTGTCAACAGCTCATTGTAATAAACAGTTACACTCCTGTCACCTTGTTTCGCATGCCATAACATTGCTTTTAAACTAAAAATTTGGGAGGAGTTTTGAATATCAGAGTATGTTTCTTTAACAGCTTCCCACACATCCCTTGCGGAAGGCAAAAACATGTAAGGCTTACCTATTCCAGTTTCCATGGAGCTTACCAGCCACGCAATAATCAAAGAGTTTTCAAATTTTCATTGTTTGTAACGAAGATCTCCTGATGCCGGTTCAGCTACTGCTGTATGTTAAGAAATCAAATTTCCCTTTGCTATCCAACACCAACCGAACGGTTTGAGCCCATTCATTATAGTTATTCCCATTCAGTTTAGGGATATTGACCTTGAGGGAGTATGAGGAACCCTTTTGATCATTACCGTCTATGTTGGAATAACTATCACCAAAGACAATGTTCTTGTTTCCATTGTTGCCGTTATTACTAACAAAAACAATGTTAATGTCTTCATTATTGCCACTGGCCACCGACGGTTCCTCTCGTTCGCCATCTCTGCGACCACCGCCGTTTCCGTGGCCACCTCCGTTGTTCGCCATCTCTGCGACCATTGCCGTTTCCGTGGCCACCTCCGTTGTTGCGGCCACCGCCGTTGTTATTCGCCATAAGAGGTTAAACGGGTATGTGAATCGGTTCGGGCCACCTCGAACCCCACTAGTTGTAGAAAGCTTTATGGTAACCCTAACCCAGAGCTCTCGATACCATATTGAAAGAAATAGATAAAAGTTGTTGTAATTTTATTCCTCAGTCAAAGGCTGGTTTATATAATGAGAATACAATAAAAATACTTAATTCTCTCTTTAATGGAAAATAAAAGAAAATAAATGACAATAAACGTAAACAATTAAATATGAAAATAAAATATTTTTCAACAGTAAAGTTGAGTTAAACTCAATCCAAAAGTCAACTGGAATGAAGATGAAATGTAATGTCTTAAATTTGATGTTAAAGAAATTGATAGATTCAAGGATAAGGGTACAGCATTGTTCTCTTGCTACAGAAGGTTATCTTTTCATATTGAAATGAAGAAAAAGTTCAAAGGAAAACTGAAAAAGCACACAACTATAATTTCCCATTTGTCAATATGAAATATTAAAACTTACCTTATGAATTTTTAATATACGTGGAGCACTTAGCTTCCCTTGAGTGAGGATCTGGACATTAGAGCTTTCACAGGGACATAAATAGAAACTGCATCTGCAAAGGTTATGATAAAAATATGTATATTAAAGAGAACAGTAAATAACTGGCCCAAGAATAATAATCATAAGGGTTTCCAGAATTATAAAATTACAATTGTGGTCAGAAACTCAAACCATAAGCATTCTTCCACTTTTTTTAAGTGCAGAAAAGTAATGCATCATTTTAGGAGAGCGAAAAATGATTAAAGATGCTGCAAGAACTGTATAAAACCAAGAGACAACTTGACTAGTAGGAAGTACAAAAGTACAACTTTAATTTAAATCACAAGTTGATTTCCATCATAATTGCTATAATAAAGTACTGCCATATTTTTTGGGAGGTGGTGTATGTACAACCATTATATATAACATCCAAAGTCAATCAAGGTCTTACACAGAAGACAAGGAAAATATGACCTTTAAAACATCAGAACATGCCAAGATGTTGCTTTGAGCCAAATAATAATGAAAATAATAGATTAAGGACATAGTTAGATCATGCTATGACAATTAATGCAAAATACCACGCCCCACGAGCAATCTTTCACTCTTGCTACTACAAGCATGGGTTATATGCAACAATTTAGAGAGAACAAAAATAAACTGGAAGACAAAAATTACTTGGTATTTTCTCTAGGAGGTAATTGATTATTCAGTACACAATCCAGACACCACCAGGGGAAGTCTTTATCATCTTCAGTTCCATCTAAATTTGTAATCTTTTTTCTCCATGGACCTCCAAGTGTTCCCTCAGTAATAATGGAAGGAGGGGAAACAATTGAGAATTCAAAAGGAGGATAAACAACAGCCTCATTCTCAGAACTTCCGTCAACCTCAACTCTTGAATGTGAAAGACTTCTAGTACCAATTTCGTTTTCAGATGATAATTCCCCATTAGCAGAAACAGGAGTTCCCATCCTTTGCTTTCGTTTTCTCATCCAATGAGCCAAGAGCCCTTTCAGTGTTTCTCGGGCCAAGTTAATCTGTAGGATAAAAGAAAGAGTCATTAGCTGCTTCCATATTTCATATGAGTGTGTTTGTGCGTGCGTGTGTCTTTATACGTGCATGCTTCATGAATTTATAAATAAGCATTGAATTTGGTGTGTAAGAATTAGGAGAATGCTGCCTCTTACTTAATAAAACTGCATATAATAAATACTATCATATTAGTGATAATAGTAACATGGTGAGCATCATTCGCATTGAACAAGAACGAATTAAAATTGGAAGCTCATTATGCTTCACTGATGGTAAAAGATCCCCAAAATGAATGGCATAAACAATTAAATAAACTGGAAATCATTAGTTTATTATAGTCAACTGTAACTTGCAAAACAGAAGGAGAATGAACACTGTCAATTTTGTAAAGTGGGTATTATTTGTTACAGCCAATATAATAACTAGTGTTGTCAATGGCGAAAACCTAAAAATTCGCCATATAAATAACCCATTGCGGCCTATGGCACAGCCAGGGTAGGCATCCGTTGACAAATTGCCTATGTCGGTTCTCCAAAAATCTGTCATGCCATGGCTGGCATATAATAACAACACAGATGATAATAACATACCAAAGACTTGAAATTAGGGAAAATATCAATAGATAAGAAATTCAAGAAAAAGGTATACAAATTGCTTATCAAAATATGCTCACTTACCTTATCATCTTCGGGCTTGTCTACAATGTTAAGCTCTTGTGAATACAACTCTGCAGAAAAGCACTGGGGAGTGTCCAAATGTACAGACAAACATCCAAGTCTGGTATCCACTGTGAACCATGCAGGAATACTAACCTGAAATAGTAGGGAAAGTATAAATCAACCAGAACTAAAATAATAATATATTTATAACAAGTGTCATTTCAAAAAGCAAAAGAATTGCTGATGACAAATACATGCAATCATACCATCTCAAACAGGTCTTCCTTTTTCTCGTCGAATGGTACCTATATAGTTCACGTAAAGCATGAGCTATTTTGAACTACAAATGAGCCCTGCCAGCTACAGTTGAACTTTGAAAGTAAAACCAAATTTTCACCTTTCCGTAATCTTCAATTGCAACACCTTTCGTGATTTCCCACAACTTCACTGAACCAGAAGTATCCTATAAAGGATCCATTTATCAGCTCAGAAGATAACTATACAACAGAATATGTGACAATATTAACATACTTTGCATAATAACACAAAACACAAAGCACCGTGATTACCTTTGTCAGCACATGCCTCTTATTATTTAAAACTTCATGCTGTACTATTGCAGGGATGCCAGGAATAGTCAATGTAGGCTGTTTGTATTCAGTAACCTATTTACATTTGAATGTCAATAAAACGAAAAATTATTAGTGGCCCTGCGCCAAAACAGATAATATGTTGCCAAGAAAAATATTCAGGGAGATTATGGCGTAATATTGTATAAATAATAAGCTGGCAGTCCCTATAATAAATGGTTTAAACCAGGGAGGTTTGTTTGAATTGTCATCATGTTTAGATATCTTCCAGAATTAGATTATTAGGATTTGATTTTGAATTTGATTATTAGGGTTTGATTTAATTTCCTTTACTGTTTCCTTTCCTATGTAATCCTAATGTATCTGTGTATTATCAAATCAAATAAGAATAATATATTCTCTCCTAATGTATATGTTCTATGAACCGGATCAAAAGAACATTTATCCTAATCCTAGGATAGAAACTTCTTTGGAAGGAAGATCCCACCATATCCCCCAAAAAAGGAAACACTAATCGAGAGACAAGTAAACAAATATATTTCACCTTTATATGTGCATATGCAACCAGCATTAACTATTCTCAAAGCAATACAACATTTGGTAGATAAAATAATAAAATGAATATTTTTGAGAAATAAATATAAATACAACATACAGGGGTAGATCCTTCTAGAGACACCCTCGCTCTTGAAAATGACAAATTTCCAGCTAAAAAAGCATTGCCTTTTTGGAAAATCTTTTGAGGGTTGCCCACTTCAGCAGGCCATCTGTGAACTGACGAGTCCGTTGATGCAACCCATATGCTATCATCATGCAAAGCCATTTGAAGAATTGGTTGTTCCCCAGTGCTAAGCAAAATGCTCTCTCTGGTATGCAAATCTGTCAAGTATAACTGGACAAATCAAATAATAGGTCAGAAGATGACCTTCACAAGTTGAACAGAACGAGACGCCGCAGAAATTCAAGTCACAATAATTAAAATATTCATTTTATTTTTGTAAAAAAAATTGCACTCACAGAAGAGTCTCTACCACCACTATAAACATGACTAAACGTTGAATTGCTAGCAAGAGCCCAAACAGAATCTGTATGAACGGCATAAGAATGCACACACCGTTGCTGACCGAGATCCCAAAGCCTACAAAGAAACATGTGACATTTGTAAGGCATATAACAAACAATATAAATTACTATTACACATCCAGACACATCATCTTATTGTCAGAAAAAAGTACACCACCTTAACATAGAGTCTGAAGATCCTGATAAACAAAACCTACAATGATAAATGTTAGAATCATCTCAGCTGCTGTAGAAAGAAAAGTATTACTTAATTCGACCTAACATAACTTATGCAATGAAAATAAGTAAATACAACAGAAAAGAAAACCAGACAGTATTCTGTTCAGTATATACTATTGCCAATCAAATAGCAACCCATTGAAACATTGTCAATTAAAATATAAGCATGCATCATCTATTCAGTAATTCAGTCCTCGCAAATTCAGTATACTAACTATTCCATTTTGTTCCGGAAAAAAACTCAGTAAGAAATATGGCCTAAGAAATAGCTACTTGTTGGAACATGGCCTAAGAAATATTAGGTCTCAGTAATCCTCCTTTTCATCCTCTATGTCCATAGATAAAACCATCAATAATTCAGTGATTCAGTCCTCGCGAGATTTTTGTCATCAAATATCCCTCAATAATGACATTATTTTGGTCCTTTGTTTACCAAAAATTTAACTTAGAATGCTACTCATAGGTAAGGAAATGGCATGCAGATAATGGACTAGCCTCTAAATAGAAGGTAACAAAAGGACCAAAATGGTTACAGTTTCAATTATTAAGAGACTAAATTGATGAAAAAACATTGAGTACTAAAATGATGATGCTTATATTGTGTACCTTTGGCAGATGAAAATAAGGGTTTATGCTGCGTGCTATATATGTTTTATTTCTTTCTATTTTGTGGCAATAAATAGATATGCCAAAGGAAAATGACAAAAGAAGAAACAGATAGGGAGAAGTTCATAAATACGTCCCTAACTCTAATGTTTGTAAACAGTAACTTGTCCAAAGTAGAAGAAATTTGGTATTTGTGGGGAGGGGCCATAGGAGAGTTGAAGATATACATGTAAGACTACCGGACAGACCTGCCAGTAGAATCCAGAAGCAAAGCTCTGATGTTATCTGTATGCCCTTTTAGCTTCATAGTCTTTGATCCAGATCTTGGATCCCAAACACGTACAACCTAGAGAAATGAAAAAATTAAAAGCAAAAAAATAAATCATACAAGTGGTGCGACAACAACTTATAACCCAGCTTGCACAAATCAATATAAACCAAATTCCCCTTAAAATTTAAAGTTAATAACAGAAGCCACAAACAGTTAGAACATAGACATGGACATGAATGTCACAAAGTACCTTTTCTGTACCACCGGAAACAAGAAGTGTTCCACCTTCATTCATAGTCAATGCATAAACAGATTCCTTATGGCCTTTGGCAGTAACCGGAATGTATCCTTCAGTTTGAGTTTGCATGGATATACTGTTGCTAGAGCCGATGGTACGTAATCTTGTCATTGGCAATAAGTTGCCAGAACCATTGACATAATTTGAAGTATCGACATCCATAGCATCATTGCATTTTGCAGCTGAAGCGAGTGCAGCTTCAATATCCCATATAAAAACCTCCCCACCAAGGCCGCCCGAGGCAACAATATTGCTCTATTAATTCACGACACTATTGAAGGATCAGAAAATGGATTTGATAAGATTCAAACTTTAAATCGAATCAAACAATCTATCAGATTCAATGATGACCACAGAAAATATGAAAATGAAACTTTTCTTGACGCAATTTAAGAAGCATGGAAAGTTCCATAACATTACATTTTTTTCAGCTGCTGCAAGGCAAGTAACATAATCTGAGTGTTGGCAGAGCGTCCTAGTACATTTTCCTGTGGACAAGGCATTCCATGTCTGGCACAAACATACAGCAGCCAAAATAGGAGTAACAAGCATATCAATGCTGCTATCACAGTCAAAGAACATGGATTGATTACAACAAATTACCGTTAACACTAAACAAACCTTAAGGGTCGTATCTGAAGAACAAGAAACAAGCGTACTATCACCCACAAGAACCGCATCATTTACCTGTTAAGGAAACACTTTTAAGTTTTAACATATAATAGTCCCTTGAGCTAATTCATTGCAATTTGCATGTACCAAAAATTGTGATATTTTAGTTGGTATAAAAAGCTCGGTGTTGCAATGCACAATTAATGCTGGATGCAAGCTCAAGGGTCTTGGAATTAAACTAAAAATATATAAGTTGAACAATGACTAGGATTGTAAAAACCAAAAAGAAGGAAATTATTCAAGTGAAAAGAAGTATCAAACTTCCAAAGCCCAAAATGGAACTTGATGCAACAACAGTCAAGTAGAAGAATTCAGTGACTATTGAAGTTGCCGCTTTAAGTATTAAAATAAATCCCGGTCATGGTTTAAATTTTGACTTCTTATAACCCCAAAAAAAGACAGCAGACAAATAAAAATGCTCTACAAATAAATTGCGGAGAAAGAGGAAAACAAAATAGCATTAGTGAATCCATGTGTTGTTGGAAATAGTTAAATTTATTGTATGTTTCTCATTAAAAAGCATTTAAGTATTTAGGTTTATGTATGTTTAGTTTCGTGCATTTAGAGAATTGATTCGTATTTATTTCTCCATATAACATGTAATTAATTATGTAGTGTGCATAAATATCATGGTTGCTTAGAGTGCTTTACTCACTCAAACACATTCAAAAGAAAAAAAAATGTATTCCTATTTTTCACATGGTATTAGATCTCCTGATCTAGGGGACTTAACATCCGCAGATAAGTCTTGAGAAAATCTGACTGAGCATTTTCTACTGTCAGTAACCTCAAATCTTGACCGGGCACTACATACTATCAAGTTCTTCAAGTTAACCACTATCCATACACCAGAAGTCGTTGTCTCTACAGTACCAGCTGTGCATTTAGGGAGTTGAATCTGTATTGATTTCTCCTTATAAATATAACATGTAATTTATTATGTAGTGTGTATAAATATCAGTTGCTGAGAACGGCTTTATTCACTCAAGCACATTCAAAAATGTAAAAAAAAAGGTTAAATATGTTTATGGTCCTCCTAAATATTTCAATTTTGTTTTTAGTCCCTTAAAATATTTTCTTCAAAGAATGGTCCTTCTAAAATTTTCCATTCACACTTTTAGTCCCTAATACTAAAACCGTCGCAAAAATTGTCGCTAATTCAGTCTTTAAGTAATAAATCGTCACTATAACCGTCGCCAATTCTGTCAAAATTGTAAAAACCATCACTAATTTGCAAGAGGGACCAAAAGTGTGGATGAAAAATTATAGAAGGACCATTATTTGAAGGAAATATTTTGAGGGACTAAAACTGAAAATTGAGATATTTAGGAAAACCACAAACATATTTAACCCAAAAAAATGTATTCCTATTTTTCATATGGCATTAGATCTCCTGATCTAGGGGACTCAACTTAAATAATTTTTGAGAAAATCTGACTGAGCATTTTTCTGCTGTCATTAACTTCAAATTTTGACTGAGCAACATGCTATCAAAGTTCTTCAAGTTAACCACAATCCATATACTTTCCAGAAGTCATTCGTACAATTTCCTGCCGCCGTCGGTACAGCTCTATACATTTGTCAACAGCCGTTTGTACAGTACCAACCGTTGTCCCAACATTTTCTGAATTGATTTCTTCATCAAATCTTTTTTTTGTGGTATGTATATGTGGTTCCTTCATGTCCAATAGTATGGAAAAATCATCAGGTAGTTGTAGTGTGGTGTATTCTGGTAAGCTTCTATTCTCATTTGGATTTCATGTCTCAAAAACACCTTCTAACCTATTTTGAATATTAGATTCAAGAGCCACAAATCACATGACACCCTCTTTGAAACAGTTTTTCACATATTCCCCTTATCCTAGTAATAAAAAAAATTGCTACTGCATATGGTACTCTTGTAATTGTAGTTGGCATTGGAGATATACAAATAAATCATTTTATAACCTTAAAAAGGGTTCTCCATGGTTCAAAACTATCCATGAACTTTGTCTCCATACAAAAACTTACAAACGATTTATCCTGTAGCGTGACTTTTTAGAATGATTGTTGTGTATTTCAAGATAAGGAATCGGAAAAGATAATTGGACATGCTAGAGAAAGGAATGGCATTTACTATCTTAAAGAGCCAAATCAGTGTCCAAAAGTCCACTTGACCCACTCATTTATGTTAGAGTTAGTACTCTCTAAAAAGAAGAAGAAAAAAAAAACTTTCTTTTTAAGTGTCTATTGGACCATCCTTCATTCGGAGTCATTAAAATTTTGTTTTTGCCTTTATTTAATAAGGTAGATATTTGAAGTCTTCATTATGATGTGTGTGAGTTTGCTAAACATAAACGTCTACATTTCCCATTAAACAACAAAAGAATTCTTTCCCCCTTCTATCTTACTCATTCAGATGTTTGGGGTCCCTCTACCAATCCAAATGTAATTGGTGTTAGGTGGTTTGTAACTTTTATAGATGATTGTATCGGGTTACTTGGGTGTTTTACTCCAGAAAAAGTCTGACATCAGTACTGTTTTTCTAAATGTTTTCTACATGATTAAAAATCAATTTAGAGTAAACATCAAGAGTACTTCAATCATGTTCTTATTTCTTTCTATTATAAAGAGGGAACTGCCTACGAGTTTTTTTATGTTAAAACATCATGTTGATATTTGTAAATATATATATAGTGTTAAGAATATTTGTATATAGAATAGTCCCACATCGACTATATCATGTAATTAGTTGTAATCTATTTATATATAATAATGTCTCCGTAGTGCTTTTCAAAACACACGGTTTATTCATGTCTCTTAGTCTCTTGTATTTCAACATGGTATCTAAAGCCTACTAAGAGGCAATTCTTTCTTCGCCGTATTTTACCCGGTTGACCTACTGTCTTCCGGTGAGAATTTTTTTTGGCAAACCGTGTTGTCACTCCAGTTTGCCTCTCACTTTTCAAAATTCTCCCGTAACCGTCTTGCCGCCGTTACAGTTCCGGCAAAACTTCCGACGACGTTTTGAAAAACCGATTTTCTCGCTGTCCTCCGATCCGGTCGTTATGGTTCTCCATAGCACCTAACCTCCAAGCGCAGTATCAAGCTTTCTCCACTTGCTATGAAGTTTGGGAAAAGGCCAAGAAAGTCTTCTCCAACGACGTTCATTGTCTATACAGTGTCATCCTCAAACTCGACACACTAAAGATGGAAAATATGGATATGCAAACCTATCTGAGTAAACTTTGATGCCTTGAAAGCAAGTTACGCAACCCTCATGCCGTACGCAAAAGACGCAACAGCTCATGCCGAACAACAGAGTAAATTTTTCATGGTCATGGCACTTAAAGGACTACCATCCGAACTCAACTCCGTTCGTAACCAGATTTTATCAGGTACTATTGTTCCTAACTATGATGTAGTTAGTGAACAACTGTTGCGCTTGGCTACACCTCATGCGTTTGGTCCGGTTTCCCCTCCATCTACTGTTGCTCCAACACCAGGTGACACTGCTGCCCTCGCATCTCTTGGCAACAATCAGAATCGTCCTCAAGGAAGGTCATCCAACTCCAAACCTCGTCCCAAGTGTAACCATTGTAACCGGCTTGGACATACTATCGACCGTTGTTGGAAGCTACATGGCAAACCCCCACGCCAGGTAAATGCAGCTCAAAGTGATAACTCAAAAACTATGCAGACTTCACCTTTTATTCAGAACCCTACGCCAAGCTACGAAGATTTTCTCAGGTGGTGTCAGACTATCAGACTAATAGATCTCTGATTCCACTGCTTCGGTTGCACACACTGGTAATTCATTTGTTTGCTTCTCTCAATCATCTCCTCTTGGACCTTGGATCCTTGATTCTGGTGCGTCTGATCATGTTACTGGTAATAAAGGTCTTTTTTCTTCCCTCTCTACCTCTGATTTCTTGCCTATTATAACTGCCGCAAATGGTTTTCAAACCCGATCCCAAGGGATTGGTACTGTTCAAATTTTACCATCTCTCTCTGTTACTTCTGTCCTTTATGTACCTAATTGCCCATTTAATTTACTGTCAGTCAGTCGTTTAACTCGATCCCTTAATTGTTCTATCACCTTTACTAACAGTAATGTTACTCTACAGGATCGGAGTTCGGGACAGACGATTGACGTCGGATGTGAGTCTCAAGGCCTCTACTACTTCTCTACATCATCTACCACATGCTCCACCACAAATTCTCCACTCATTATACATGGGCAGTTAGGTCATCCAGGTCTTCCCAAGCTACAAAAGTTGGTGTCCAATTTATCTAAATTATCCACTTTACATTGTGAATCTTGTCAGTTAGGAAAACATATTCGTAGTCACTTTTCCGATCGAGTCAATAAACGGGTTACGTCCCCTTTTGCTTTAGTTCACTCCGATGTTTGGGGTCCCTCGCGTACCGTGTCTACTTTTGAGTCTAGGTATTTTGTAACCTTTATTGATGATTTTTCACGTTGCATATGGCTATTTTTAATGAAGAACAGGTCTGAATTGTTTTCTATTTTTGAACAATTTTATCGAGAAATAAGAACCCAATTTGGTTTATCTATTCGTACCCTAAGAAGTGACAATGCACGTGAATATTTATCCCAACAATTTCAAACATTTATGTCATCCAATGGTATTTTGCACCAAACATCTTGCCCTCATACATGGTAATATTCCTCTCCGGTTTTGGGGAGATACAGTGCTCACGGCATGTTACCTCATTGTCACACCCTCATTTTCGCCTTTAGCCTTTATACCCTACATTCGTCATATCATACATCATTTTATTGCATATCGAGCATGTGGGTACGGATTGGGTCGATTTGTCATTTTCCATTTCAAATGAGATAACTTGTCTATCTTGGACTACATGGAAGAAAAGGTTCATTATCTAAGGTTTGATCTAAATTGGAAAGTCTACTCATGTGGATTTCTTCAAGAAGAAGTTACTTGACAAAATATTAGGATATGCAAGATATATTCCTAATGACCATGAAATGCAAGGCATAATTCAAGATG